TCCCTTTTGTTACTTCCCCCTCCCCGCCTAGACCCCTCAGGGGAACGTAACAATCTCTACATTATATGAGTTGATGATTCTAGCATTACAGAAAATGTCTTAATATTTCCAGACTGAGCTGTGGTGAGATCTTTAGTTTTCTTTCTTGTGTTTCAGTGACAGCCTTAGCCATCACAAACCTATTTGCTTATTTATTTATTTTTATCTCTAAAACTCATAGGTAAATACATATCAATACATGTATTCATCGTGAAGCATCCTGATGATCAATAACCAAGTGTTTCTTCCTGAAACAATTACATGTAACCAGTGTTGGGGAGTAACGGAATACATGTACCGCCGTTACGTATTTAAAATACAAAATATGAGTAACTGTATTCCGTTACAGTTACCGTTTAAAAAGGTGGTATTCAGAATACAGTTACTTTGTTGAAATAAATGGATTACACTGCGGTACTTTGTAGCCACAGCTGCCCTGAGGCAGACTGACAGAAGCGAGGCTGCCATATCACGCCATCGGGCCTCCACTAGTAGGCAGTAGGTGAAGTGTCTTGCCCAAGGACACAACGACCAAGACTGTCCGAGCCGCGGCTTGAACCGGCAACCTTCCAATTACAAGACAAACTGCCAACTCTTGAGCCACGATCTAATGGACAGATGCAAGGTTATCGATGGTTACATCCTCGTGCAATAAAGAGGTTGAATGTTGTATCACACAATGCCTGATCAATTTGTTTCACTAACTCATCTAAATAAGGAATTTTGTAGCAGAAACAGTAATTATAGCAGTTTGTTGTGGAACAGTAATGTCCATATCAACAACTTTTTTCTTGTGGCTCTAATACTCCATCGTAACATAAAGCCTCCCCGTCTTCTCTGTAGCTCAGTTACTTGATCTAAATCCTTGATCAGCTGTGTGCTGAGCTATGGCCCAGTTAGATGTTAATGTGTGTTCTTATGTTGTGTTATAGTGACAGCTGTGTGTACTGCTGCAGGAGCAAGTAAGCAGTTTATTTATCTTTAACTAATTTGAATCAAAGCCCGATCCATGTCTGATACATGTCTTGTCTTCCTGCAGTAGGTGCTGTAGTCACTGCTCCTGCTCTTCTGGGAGCTGCAGGTTTCAATTCAGCTGGAATAGCTGCAGGCTCCTGCGCTGCAGGCATGATGTCGTCTGCTGCAGCTTCTAATGGAGGAGAAGTGACAGCCGGAGGTGTGGTGGCTGTTTTGCAGTCAGCAGGTAAATAAATAATTAGACGTTTTATTAGGATTTTAACTTACAACAACATGCAAAAAGAAGAAGTTCATGGCTTTGGGCCTTGGATTCCAGGCCGGAGTTGTGTCCTCAGCCTGTAGTCTGACTTGGAGGAAGAAAACTAAATCTTGTGGACCCCATTGCAGTGTGAGTGTGGTGGTTTCTTACTGGTCAATAGTAGACCTTACAATGTTCTTGTACGGGAGTCATTTTGAACCATACGTAACATTTGACGTTTGTTGACAGGATTTTTGACCAGCATACAAAACCACCTGCCTTAGACTGATCAATATGGCTGATGAACCATCTGAAACCGTTAATATGGTGTCACCATTTTTTATTGGTGCACCCTGTGTACCAGAATTTTGTGGCTTAACACGAATTATGAAGACCGGGAGAGCCAGATTAGTGCAATGCTCCATGCTCAAAAGTGGTCTATAGAGCAGCAGTGTGATTTTGTGCTGAGTGCATTAGGAGAGCAAGTGGAGCGGGATACGCCAGATAAGATCTTTCTTCAATTTAAAGAACTGTACGGGGACAAAACAGCTGTGGGTACCTTGCGTGCCATGTTTTATGACTGCAGACAAAGGCCAGAAGAGCCTATTAGAAAGTTCACTTTACATTTAAGGGAGATCTGTAATTTATTACTTTGGTTTGATTTTTCAGTTTTTCTTTACAGGAAAAGATGGATAAGCTTGGTGTTAGTCCTTTCCATCAAGTTTCCTTTGTTAAAGCTGTTTTCTGCTTACAGTATGTGAATATCAAATAAAGTCTTATGAATCAAATTATGTCAGTCCTTCATCACATGTATCACTTGTTTTTTTGGAGTGTTTTTTTTTCTTTGTTTTTTAATTTTGTTATCCCACATGAAAAATTCCAAAACTGCAGATTTTAGACACTTTAGACCTAAAATGTATATTCATTAGGGGAAAAAACATTCATTTGTGATAGTAAACGTAAAACAACCTGAAAGACTTCATGTGACAGTCAGAACATTGAGCTTATCAAATTTGCGGACCCCCATCACGGTTATGACTGTTCTTCCCATCCCATGCAAGGCCACCTGGGTTGGCTGGAAGACTGTTTACTTAGCCTGTCGGGGCGAAGGACACTGTCTCAGCTGAACTCTGGATACACACACACACACACACACACACACACACACTGATATGTGTAATACACTATCAATACACTACCAACATTCAAACAATATGTGGACTGTCCCACCAGGGGAGAGAAAATTTTAGACTTACTGTATGCTAACGTCAAGGATGCATACAGCTCCTCCTCCCTCCCCCCACTTGGTAGGTCAGATCATAACTTGATTCACCTCACCCCCCGCTATGTGCCAATTGTGAGGAGGGAACCTGTGACCACCAGGACTGTTAGGAGGTGGTCAGAGGAGGCATAGCGGAACTACAGGGCTGTTTCGAGGTGACCGACTGGGAAACACTCTGTGAGCCTCACGCCGAGGACATCAATGGGCTTACTGAGTGTATCACAGGCTACATAACTTTCTGCACAGACTCCATTGTTCCAGCTCAGACTGTTCATTGTTACCCAAATAACAAGCCGTGGGTGACTAAGGACATCAAAGCCCTCCTCAACAACAAGAAGAGGGCTTTCAGAGGGGGCAACAAAGAGGAGGTGAGGAAGGTCCAGGTGTTACTAAAGGACAAGATCAGAGAGGCTAAGGACAATTACAGGAGGAAGCTGGAGTGGAAACTCCAGCAGAACAGCATGAGAGAGGTGTGGAGGGGCATGAAGACCATCACTGGATTCAGGCCAACCAACAGCAGGGGAACTGAGGGAGGTGAGAATAGAGCCAATGAGTTGAATCTGTTTTTCAATAGATTCGACACCACAGTGTCTGCTCCCACCCCCACAACCTCACCTGTAGTCAGCCTGGAATCCAGAACCACACCACTGTGCCAGCCTCTCTCTTCACATGTTGCCTCCTGTGAGATTCCTGACACCCCTCCCCCACCCATCACCTTCACTCAATACCAGGTTGAGATGCAAATGAGGAAACTTCACTCAGGCAAGTCTGCTGGACCAGACGGAGTGAGTCCCCTCGTCCTCAAGACCTGTGCCCCCCAGCTGTGTGGAGTCTTTCATAAACTGTTTATGCTGAGTCTGAGTCTGCAGAGGGTCCCGGTGATGTGGAAGACATCATGCCTCGTCCCTGTACCAAAGACGCCTCGTCCCAGTGGCCCCCAGGATTACTGACCTCCCACATCATGAAGACCCTGGAAAGGCCCATCCTGGACCAGCTGCGACCCATAGTAAGACCACATCTGGATCCCCTTCAGTTCGCTTATCAGCCTCGTCTCGGAACTGAGGACGCCATCATCTACCTGCTCAATCGTGTCTACACCCATCTGGACCAGCCGGCGAGCACTGTGAGGGTCATGTTTTTTGACTTTTCCAGTGCTTTCAACACCATCAGGCCGACCCTCCTGGGTGATAAGTTAGCAGCGATGCAGGTGGATGCTTCTCTGGTGTCCTGGATTGTTGATTACCTGACAGGAAGACCACAATTTGTACGTCTCCCACAGTGTGTGTCTGACAAGGTGATCAGCAACACAGGGGCACCACAGGCACTACAGATAGAAACACCCCAAAAGAGGGTCTGCATTCTATAAATATATCAGACTCTTATATATGATATATAAAAAGAATTATATCATAAACATATAAGAAATTGAAACCTAATCCATTTGTAACAATATAAAAGGTATTCGAGCTGAACAGAAATACTCAGACCAGCCCTTCTGACACCAACAACTACGCCGCTCTTCCCCATTCTGATGCTCGGTTTGAACTTCAGCAGGTCGTCTTCACCATGTCTACATGCCTTACAGCAATCAGCTGCTGCCATGTGATTGGCTGATTAGATATTTGTCTTAGCAAGCAGTTAACAGGTGTACCCAACAAAGTGGCCAATGGGTAACTGTATGTTTGCCGTTTGGAACAACCTGCCTGAGGAACTCCACTTAGCGCTTCCTGAAAATCTGTTTCACTTCTTTGGTGGTGCTTTCTGCATGTGGTTCTACTTTTCCCCCCTCATGTTACCTCTTTTCTCTTAATTCTATTATTTAATTCATTATTGTTTGGAGTTCTATCTTTTCATTTCATTTTAACTTTTACCTTTTTAATACTGTTTTTGGAAAGCATTTTCTAACGCTGATTTTGATACGTGACATGCAAATAAACTCCTATTAGGTATTACAACAACTTCAGAGTCATGTTTTCAATCCTGGTGTTAGAGCTTAGTACAGCTTGACCAGTGGTTAAGCTACAGAAAGGGGCGGACACAGTAGATGTACTTACCCACTCAAAATGTCATCAAAGGAGACCACTAACATGTTCCACACATCCATTTATTCTCTTCCCCTCATCCAGTTATGGGTTGCAGTGCAGCTGGAGCCCATTCCAGTGGTCACAGGGTGAGAGGCAGCCAACCAGTCACAACTACAGCCAATTAAGAATCACCAATTATCATAACATGCAGGTCTTTGGACTATGGGAACAAGCTGGAGCACCCAGAGAGAATCACAGGGCCTTAGCTGGCCGGTAGATTCAAACCCAGACCTCCTCACTGTGTGGCGATGGTGTTAACCACCGCACCACCACGCTGCCCACTCAATTACTAATGTAGCTTAGTGATTCAACAGAGTAATAACTACTCGAAACTGCAGTGAAAGCTGTATGCACAACAATATAAAAAAATCTGCACTTGTTAAATATTTTAAGACAAAGTTTTTAGTTTAGATAAAGCACACAAGTATCCAATTTAAAGGTACATTTACACTCATCCAAGTTCCTCCATTACTAAACAGGTATAAAAAAAAAAAACCTCCCACAACAACAACATAAAACACATTTTAAAACATTAATGCTCACATGATCACAGATTGTTTTTGAGCTCGATCTCAAAATTTCTGACAGCTATGGTTTTATCATAAAATCCCTCTACTGTCCAAAATTAAAGTGGAATGCTGAACATTCATATGCCCTTAGGCATCAGGAACATTACGTTATCATCTTCACTCTTTAGATATCAGGAATGTTTTCACACAGAAAAAGAGACTCGAGTGCTTAAAGTCTAAAGCCGGAGCCCGTCATAGTTCATCCTTCACGTCCGTTTCTTCTTTGTAGCTTTTACGCTCACATTTGCAGGCAGCAGTGTGGTCATCCAGCTGAGGCACCAGCTCCATGTCTGCGTGTTGTGTCGGCTGTCCCGTCTGTCGCTCTGAATACATGTGCAGCACTTTGTAGTAGTAACAGTACAGCCTGCTGGGCTGCAGCAGCTCTCTGGCTGCTGCCTGGCCCGCTCTGGCGATCTCTTGTGCTTCAGCGTCGTTCTCTTTAGCCCATCTGATCTTCTCCAGAAGGTCCGACAGGTTTCTCTTCACAGGAATGTAATGTGTTCCTGCCTTCAGGTGGCTGTAGAAATGTTCATAGTACTGAGAGTCTTGTTTCAGAACCAGACTGTTCCCGAGCATCAGGTAAGGAAACCGGTACGCTGCCACTGTTCCATCAATGTTCACCTGATATTTGTACTGCAAGATGAAGACAAGGTGGCACGAGTTGCATACACACGTTATGGATGTATTAAATCTATTCATAAAGACGAGGCATCAAGGAGCTAAACTAAATCATTGTAGTGAAGTGAGTAGCGTATGGATGTATATATTTATAATTATATTTATTAAAGAGAAGACTATTTTACGCTTCCTTACCTTAAAGAAGTCAAAGAATCCAACAAGTGATGCTTTGCCAACGTGTTTCTCCTGGTCTCTAAAGAAGAACCACGCAGTGATGCCGGCATCAAGGAGCTCTGGGTTTTTTTTGGACAGTGATACAAGCTGAAGACGCTCCTCTCGACTGTCCCGACCCCGGAAAAACGCCCGCTCAGTTTTATTCACCCACGGAGGCCCTGATGGAAGTATATATTACTGAGTGGGAAGAATTGTCTACATTTACATACAAATTCACAGATCATAACCATATTTCTCCTAAAGGTGTTGACTGCTTCTCATCTATCTATCTATCTATCTGACCGGCTTTCCACAGATTCCCTTAACCACACTTCCAATTTCTCATGCCACCACACCTCCTTCATTTTGCCTTTCTCTGTCCTCCCTCCGAGTCTGTTCCCGGACCTGCTAATTCAAAGACCAAGCGGCACCTCATATGTGCGATCAGTCGGGTTTAACCAAACTCCCTTAGCCTGTTGACACAGTTCAAAGAAGACAAAAGGAAGAGTGGCTGTGGGAAGAGTCAACCCCCTCCCTTTCAACTCCCATAAATCTTTTAATCATCACACTGACAGGAAGTGTTTTTTCCCCTTCCATCTCCCTTGATATGCCAGTTCCTTCTCTTTCTTCTTTTGTCTCCAACATCTCCCGTGCTCTCTCTCCTCGCCTCTCCTCTAAGCCGTCTTACCAAATAGCCAATCCTTCTTTTTCTCTCCCTCTCCATTTGACAGCACTCTCCCTCCATCCCACCCACCCCCTCGTTGTCTGCCTACCGTGGAGGCTTTAATGAGTACACTGGCAAGGTCTGTAAATTATTCAATAACTGGAAGAAGAATCTCTGATTCCTCCCCTCCCCCCTTGTTATTCTAAAAATAGATTTCCTTATGTTGGGAGTGACTCTGAGCTATTAGAAATTAAGACGCTCATTGTTGTCTCCTGGTGGGGTGGAGATTTGACACCGTATTTTGAAATAATAGTTAAGCTGTGATTTCATTACTTTAGATTTATCATTGGCTATGAAACTGTGAAATCAGGTTAAAACAAGCAACGGAATTTGAATGAAAACAGCGGAATTTGAATGAAAACAGCGGAATTTGAATGAAAACAGCGAATTGAAAACAGCGGAATTTGAATGAAAACAGCGGAATTTGAATGAAAACAGCGGAATTTGAATGAAAACAGCGGAATTTGAATGAAAACAAAACAGCGGAATTTGAATGAAAACAGCGGAATTTGAATGAAAACAGCGGAATTTGAATGAAAACAGCGGAATTTGAATGAAAACAGCGGAATTTGAATGAAAACAGCGGAATTTGAATGAAAACAGCGGAATTTGAATGAAAACAGCGGAATTTGAATGAAAACAGCGGAATTTGAATGAAAACAGCGGAATTTGAATGAAAACAGCGGAATTTGAATGAAACAGCGGAATTTGAATGAAAACAGCGGAATTTGAATGAAAACAGAAGAAAAAAAAAAAAAAAAAAAAAAAAAAAAAACAGCGGAATTTGAATGAAAACAGCGGAATTTGAATGAAAACAGCGGAATTTGAATGAAAACAGCGGAATTTGAATGAAAACAGCGGAATTTGAATGAAAACAGCGGAATTTGAATGAAAACAGCGGAATTTGAATGAAAACAGCGGAATTTGAATGAAAACAGCGGAATTTGAATGAAAACAGCGGAATTTGAATGAAAACAGCGGAATTTGAATGAAAACAGCGGAATTTGAATGAAAACAGCGGAATTTGAATGAAAACAGCGGAATTTGAATGAAAACAGCGGAATTTGAATGAAAACAGCGGAATTGAATGAAAACAGCGGAATTTGAATGAAAACAGCGGAATTTGAATGAAAAAAATGAATGAAAACAGCGGAATTTGAATGAAAACAGCGGAATTTGAATGAAAACAGCGGAATTTGAATGAAAAACAGCGGAATTTGAATGAAAACAGCGGAATTTGAATGAAAACAGCGGAATTTGAATGAAAACAGCGGAATTTGAATGAAAACAGCGGAATTTGAATGAAAACAGCGGAATGAATGAAAACACGGAATTTGAATGAAAACAGCGGAATTTGAATGAAAACAGCGGAATTTGAATGAAAACAGCGGAATTTGAATGAAAACAGCGGAATTTGAATGAAAACAGCGGAATTTGAATGAAAACAGCGGAATTTGAATGAAAACAGCGGAATTTGAATGAAAACAGCGGAATTTGAATGAAAACAGCGGAATTTGAATGAAAACAGCGGAATTTGAATGAAAACAGCGGAATTTGAATGAAAACAGCGGAATTTGAATGAAAACAGCGGAATTTGAATGAAAACAGCGGAATTTGAATGAAAACAGCGGAATTTGAATGAAAACAGCGGAATTTGAATGAAAACACGGAATTTGAATGAAAACAGCGGAATTTGAATGAAAACAGCGGAATTTGAATGAAAACAGCGGAATTTGAATGAAAACAGCGGAATTTGAATGAAAACAGCGGAATTTGAATGAAAACAGCGGAATTTGAATGAAAACAGCGGAATTTGAATGAAAACAGCGGAATTTAACATACATAAAATACATCAGAATTTGAATGAAAACAGCGGAATTGAATGAAAAAAAAAATAAAAAGGAATGAATAAAACAGCGGAATTTAATGAAAACAGCGGAATTTGAATAGATAGATAGATAGATAGATAGATAGATAGATAGATAGATAGATAGATAGATAGATAGATAGATAGATAGATAGATAGATAGATAGATAGATAGATAGATAGATAGATTCATTCATTCATTCATTCATTCATTCATTCATTCATTCATTGTCCTAAGGCTAGACCCCCTATGCTAAGCAAGCATGAGCGACACAGATAAATATGAAAGCATGCCGGCTCGGACGTCACCCGGATCAACAAGGTCCGCGTCAGATGTTGAGGAACCAGGGCACCCTGACGAAAAGTGGGCTACTGGAACAAGAACGCATCGGTGGGCAAGACACAAAAACAGGGCGTTGTTGGAATGCTACTACGCAAGTAACCCCGGCGGAGGGGGCTACATGAATAGGATGCGGGACCTATGGATTCTTCGATATCCAACATCCACAATGACGGCGAAACAACTAGTAGCTCAGTGTTCCAACATTCGAAAGAACAGACTGCTCTCACAGCTAGAGATTGACGAGGTACAACACAAATGCTATGGCAAGGAGGAGTCAGGACACCAGGTCAGGGGGGAGATATCATCACCCCACCCGAGATTGGTACATAGCCCAAGTGATAGGAGGATGTGAGAGGAACTGACCTGAAAATAGGATCATGGCCAAGCTTGAACCTGTCCCATAGTCCAAGATTACGTGAAGTACCTCAGAAGCTGCTAGATGATGTTATGCACACTATGGCATACCTACACCACGATTACGACAGCAAGCTGATCCAATATGCAGTGATCAGTGAGATGCTTGGCTACAAGTTGAACAGCGACAAGGGGCAGTACCCTCCATGGAGAAGGAGGCTAGAGGGCAAGATCAAAGTAGCACGGAGGGAGGTTAGCCAACTAACGGAGTTGCAGAAAGGTGCGACAAAGAAGGTGCATAAGAAATACAGCAAGCTGTCCATACCTGAGGCCTTGGAAACTGCCAAGCAAAGACTCACAGCCTTGGCCAGCCGCTTGAGGAGGTACACCAGAGAGATAGAAGGCAGGAGAATAAACCAGCTGTTCTCCACAGAACCAGCAAAGGTGTACTCTCAGTGGCAAGGGAACAATAAGAGAACAGCACCACCAAGGCTGGAGACGGAGCAATACTGGAAGAGCATATGGGAGAAGGACGCAACCCATAACGGCAATGCTCAGTGGCTAGTGGATCTGAGGGCTGACCACAGCGACCTCCCTGAACAGGGTCCAGTAACCATCACAGTGGCAGATATCCAAGAAAGGGTCTCCAGTATGAAGAGTTGGACAGCACCAGGGCCCGACATGGTTCACGCCTACTGGCTAAAGAAGCTGACTGCACTCCACGAGCGTCTGGCAGCACAAATGAAGCAGCTGCTAGTTAACAAGAGACACCCGGAATGGCTAACCGAAGGTCGGACGGTCCTGATCCCCAAGGACCCCAAGAAGGGACCGGTCCCCTCCAACTACCGACCAATAACCTGCCTCAGTACTACATGGAAGCTCCTGTCAGGCATCATATCGGCTAAGATGAACAGGCACATGGGTCAATACATGAGCGGGACACAGAAAGGAATTGGCAAGAATACCAGAGGCGCAAAACACCAGCTACTGGTAGACAGAACAGTCAGCCGAGACTGCAAGACCAGACTGACCAACCTGTGCACTGCCTGGATTGATTACAAGAAGGCCTATGACTCAATGCCCCACAGCTGGATACTGGAATGCTTAGAATTGTACAAGATCAATGGGACCCTAAGAGCCTTCATCAGGAACTCAATGGGGATGTGGCGTACAACACTAGAGGCCAACTCCAAGCCCATAGCACAAGTCACCATCAAGTGCGGGATCTACCAAGGAGATGCTCTGTCCCCACTGCTGTTCTGCATAGGCCTGAACCCCCTCAGTGAGATCATTAACAAGACTGGCTACGGATACAGACTACGGAACGGAGCAGTTGTCAGCCACCTCCTGTACATGGATGACATGAAGCTGTATGCCAAGAGTGAACGAGACATCGATTCACTGATCCACACTACTAGGCTATACAGCAATGACATTGGAATGTCATTCGGACTGGAGAAGTGTAGTCGGATGGTAACAAAGAGAGGGAAGGTAGTCAGAACTGAGGGGATTGAACTACCAGAAGGCAACATTGCAGACATAGAGGACAGTTACAAGTACCTGGGGATCCCGCAGGCGAATGGGAACCATGAAGAGGCCGCTAGAAAAGCTGCAACCACCAAGTACCTGCAGAGGGTCAGGCAAGTCCTGAGGAGTCAGCTGAATGGTAAGAACAAGATCCGGGCCATCAACACGTACGCCCTGCCCGTGATCAGGTACCCTGCTGGGGTAATAGGCTGGCCAAAGGAGGAGATAGAAGCCACTGACATAAAGACAAGAAAGCTCCTTACCATGCATGGAGGGTTTCACCCCAAGTCCAGCACCCTGAGGCTGTACGCTAAGCGGAAGGAAGGGGGCCGGGGACTGGTGAGTGTCAGCACCACAGTCCAGGATGAGACAACGAACATCCAAGAATACATTGGGAAGATGGCCCCAACTGACCGAGTGCTCAATGAATACCTCAGGCAGCAGAAACCCAAGAAAGAGGAGGGAGACGAGGAACCATCATGGAAGAACAGGCCCCTGCACGGTATGTACCACCGGCAGATAGAGGAGGTGGCTGTTATCCAGAAATCCTACCAGTGGCTGGACAAAGCTGGACTGAAAGACAGCACAGAGGCACTAATCATGGCAGCACAAGAACAAGCTCTGAGCACAAGATCCATAGAGGCTGGGGTCTATCACACCAGGCAAGACCCCAGGTGCAGGCTGTGTAAAGATGCCCCAGAGACAATCCAGCACATAACAGCAGGGTGCAAGATGCTAGCAGGCAAGGCATACATGGAACGCCATAACCAAGTGGCCGGCATAGTGTACAGGAACATCTGTGCCGAGTATAACCTGGAAGTCCCGAGGTCAAAATGGGAGATGCCCCCAAGGGTGGTGGAGAATGACCGAGCTAAGATCCTGTGGGACTTCCAGATACAGACGGACAAAATGGTGGTGGCTAACCAACCGGACATAGTGGTGGTAGACAAACAGAAGAAGACGGCCGTAGTGATCGATGTAGCGGTTCCGAATGACAGCAATATCAGGAAGAAGGAACACGAGAAGCTGGAGAAATACCAAGGGCTCAGAGAAGAGCTCGAGAGGATGTGGAGGGTGAAGGTAACGGTGGTCCCCGTGGTAATCGGAGCACTAGGTGCGGTGACTCCCAAGCTAGGCGAGTGGCTCCAGCAGATCCTGGGAATAACATCGGAGATCTCTGTCCAGAAGAGCGCAGTCCTGGGAACAGCTAAGATACTGCGCAGGACCCTCAAGCTCCCAGGCCTCTGGTAGAGGACCCGAGCTTGAAGGATAAACTGCCTGCAGGGGCGTGCTGGGTGTTTTTTTTATATATATATATATATATATATATATATATATATATATATACTCAGATTTCCTGAAAGTTACATCTGAGTCAATATATGTATGAAATCCATTAAAAAAACCACTTCCTTGTCATTTCTATCTTTAAAATGTTAACAAACAACAGCAGAATGTGTAATTTAGAAAAAACAGTGACTTTAGATGAAAACTGCTTCTGACTCCAAAAATCTAACATGTCGGCCGACATTGGGAATGTTGTGCGCAGAAAGAAGTGCCATCTATCATTCATCACATGGACAAACGTATTGGCTCACACCTCTTAATCTTTGAATTCATCTGTTTTCAGTCCCACTGCAACAGGCTTATGATATTTTTACAAACAAGTGTTGCAAACTCAAAAACTCCACAGTCCCAAACCGCCTATGGAATCAACATCAAAACAGAAAGTGTGCTCTGGGAGGTTGATGACATGGCTCAGCAGCTCCTGTAGGTGTAATGTGTAGGTTTTGTTCATATAGTGTATAGAGCAGGGGTAGGCAACTCCAGGCCTCAAGTGCCAAGTGTCCTGCAGGTTTTAGACGTGTCCTTGATCCAATACTGCAGATTCAAATTGCTAAAAGACCTCCTCAACATGTCTTGAAGTTCTCCAAAGTCCTGGTAATGACTTTTGATTCAGCTGTGTTGACTCAGGGTGATATCTAAAACCTGAAGGACACCTGCACTCGAGGTCTGCAGTTGCCTTCCCCTGGTATAGAGTCTATGGACTGTGGTGCCCTCTGGTGGACAGTTACAAAAACAAACCAAAGGAGAAACTGCCTTCATAACGTGACATCACCCTCACAGATGGATTCTTTGGTTGGGATCTTTTGGATCTTCGTTAAACTAGCTGCAGCTAAACATACAGCTTCTACAACAAGTTCAACCTCTATACTGCCTGAAGAAGAACAGCCCACTAAGTTGGATTATGTAGTTCAGGAAACCTTGCACACTGTAGATTTTTTAAAAAAGGTAGTGCTTTATGGCTCTTGAGAACATTTTGGGAAAATACAGCAGAGGCAGCACTTTCTTTCTTTTTTATTTTATTTTTGCTGAACGCTGGCAAGTTCAAAGCAATAAAAGGTCTTAAACTGCTGCACAGTATTAAAAGCAATAAATCAATAAAAAGTACACCTCTGTGTAGAAGTACATCCCAACATAATTTACTCCTGCCAGTTGCAGTTTAAGTGCAATTTCCTTCAAACTCAGATACTCAATAAGAAGTTTTAACAACTTGTAGCACAGACAGAAATATACGAATGATGATAACATAAACTGAGGGCTGTTTTGCTCAGGAGTATCAAAGTTACCTGTATTCCCTTGGACAGATAGGAGGTCATTAGTGACCCCTCTCAGTGTCTCCAGGGTGGAGTGTGTGACCTCATAGGTAGGGAGGACGATATCCCGTGTGTCTGTGGAGCCACACCACGATAAGATCGGAACAGCAGCCGACGTCTTTGTCTCTAGCGGCCAGTCACCCACATTGATGTAAAACTCCACATCAGGCACCCTCACCTGCAACAGAACATCGCTGTGTGACTGTAAAGACTTTATATATATATATGCAACAGCACAGCATGGAAAAAACAGCAGAACAACTCTACCTTCCTCGTCAATGATAGCAAAATTTCATCAGAGAACATCTTGAAGTCGGTGTATTTTCCCAGCGTGCGCCGGTACACGTGGTTGTTGATGATGGCGTAGTGAATGAGCCCTCCTCTGTTGGAGAATCTGTGAGGCACTTCCTGCCTGAGATGCTGCAGGTCGATGGTGGGAAAAGACTTAAAGTCAGCTAGAATCTGTCGGTCATCGGCAGGACACTGCATGACGCTCTGCCAGACGGAGGCATCGGGCTCAGGACAGTCACAGTATTCATGATGCACTGGACCTGAGCATGGGAATGAGCCATCAGGGTTAGATACACGTATAAATGCAATGTGGAAGATGAGGAGTCACTGTCAACTTACTGAAAAAAACAAACCCCAAAATATCTGGAACAGTCGATGAAGTCAGTCAATGTTGATAAATCCCAAAAAACACAAGTTACTGGATGTAAAGCTGTGTTAAATCTAGCGTATGTATGTGCACTCACCCCCAAATGTGACTACAAAGCAGCACAAAGACAACACTTCTTTATGCCAATGCTATAGTTAGTGTTCTTCTGCTCTATACATATGAGCTGGCTGTAATGAGGAGGTGGAGCAGGTTATCTAAGGTTGGTGGTGAAACATCTGGTTACTTGAGTCTGCATGTCAAAGTATAATTGGGCAACATACCAAACCCAAAGCTGCTCTCCAGCGTGTTCATCGCAGTGTGAGTGTTAAATAAAAAGCACTTACGTGTAGAGAAAAGTAATTGCATGAACCAGTCTATGTAACATTTACTGCATTCTTTTTAAAATAATTTTAATAGCTCTGACAGTCACTCTGCTCTTAAGTCTTTACTCCTTCCTGTGCTTCAGTAAACATCAGTCTTCCAGTAGTACAACATGAAGTGGACAGTGTGACTCGTGATGGAAGAGTTTAAGTATAAATGCTGCAGTTCTAGGATGAGTATTTTGAGGTCCCTTTCATATCTATCTTCATCATTCATTGTGTGGGTTACCCATGGAGTGGTGAGACTTTAGTTTGTGGCCACTCTTGGGTCTGTTATCAATCCTGACTTTATTTTTTGTGCAAAACACTGGCATCATAATTAAGAGCAATGCACTCTGGAGATAAACTTTGCATGTAAAAGCAATTCGTCATTTTTATCCCGATTTCTCACCATTAAATTGATTTTTCACCTTCGTATAAAGGGTCTGAGGACAGAAGGTGATGCAACAGGTTTTCTGACTAACCTTGGATGGTGTAGGGTGAGCTAGCCACAGCAGCATCTCTGTAAGAGACCTGGATCTTCAGACCCCTGTGAGCAGTGCTGTAGAGCCGATACCTCAACAGGAAGGAGCCGTCTCCTCTGTCCAGAGGTGGAGGGACGTGGATACGGAGGTACTCATTCTTATCCAGTGAGCCGATCTTCACTTTAAACGTGTCTTTTCCTGAGCACCACATTCAAAAAGCATTTCAATGAACAGTTTGAGTGCTAACGCAAGTAACAGTTATGCATATTCGGCCGCTCGTGCACGTTTTCGTTAACATTAGCCCCCCAAAAACTTTAAACGTAGCTTGCTAGCCACCGGGTTGTAATAACAAAAGAATGCTGCAAAAACAGTTTAAGGTTAGCTTAAAAATACTGCAACAGGACTTTAGTGAGCTAATAATGTCGCGTTGGTGGTCATTTACCTGGAGACAGAGTCAGGTTTTCTCCTTTTGAATTCACTGCCTGAATAAAGAAGTAGCGGACTGGTAACACGGTGTCCGGGTTTAGCCCCGGACCCCATATCAGACACCTCTCTGGACTGATTCCTTCAGAGTCACAAACCGGGAAGCTTGTACTTTGAAATACTAGTAAAATTACAAATCGGCTAATTAAACCACTCGGAAACGGCTCGACTACATCTACGTTCCGGTAACACGCCATACTCCAGCAGCTGGCACCAAGTAAACGTGTACAGTCACTAAATTTTAAGTGAAAAGTTTTGATAGAAACTCCTACTCCGACATGTTGGTGAAGACAACACGCCCACTGGTGATGGCCAGTGACGCCTTCACGGGAAGTTGGAAATTTTGGGGGTATACATATTGTGAACGCCCCCTACAGACTTAAATACTCCACATTACTGATAAAAAAAAGATCTTAACACTAATTAACCACTCCTTTGTTGTTGTTCTTGTTTTTTAACCAACTTTGCAAAATACTGCAGATAACAGCACCAGGATTAGTTATTGTCAGGGGTAAAAGAAGTCTTCAGATTTACTACATCAGAAACTTATATTATTGCATCTCATTTACAGGTAAAAGTTCAAGTTCTACTTGAGCAAAAGTACACAAGTACCGTCAGGCCAATATATGTGGCTGACCTGTGCTGCGTTCAATTCACAAATCCCTTTACTGTTGTAGCTGGTGGGGTACTGTTATTTATTTATTTATTCATTTATTTGTATTGTTATTGTGTAGCAGCGCAGCTCTGTTTGCATAATATAAACAGTGAAGGTGAAAGCTGAACGCTAACCTTTTTCCACTCCATATGTTTTTTTTGTTTTTTGTTTTTAATTTTACCAGTATGTCTCAAATTTTATTCCAATGGGAAAGTGCAACCATCCATTGTATCAGGAACAGAAATGGAGAAGAATACAGTACAAGTAGTGTAAGCAGAGCACTTGTCTTATTTTACATCAGGTGTGGTTGCTTCAGTGTGCTTTAAGCTTTGTTCTTTGTTTTAAATGTTAACTTTGTGAGGCAGGATGTTGAATCCATCAATCATGGAAGGAATGAAAAACAGGATGGACAAAAAGTGAAATAAAGGACTCCCATTTTGTGGTGAAGTTAGTTTCCAACTTTTGCTTCATGCCTTCATCTAAAACTTAATTTAGTTTATCTGGCTCCTCTTAAAGAGGATGTGTCAGGGAACTGTTTCCAATAACATTAACCTTTGGTACAGGAAAAACACATCCCCTTTTCACTGTACTAGTGTCAATAAATTCAAGCCAAGTAGAGTAACATATTTTTGCTTATTAAGAAGCTTGTAGTGCTAATTTCAAGATTGTACAATTCAAACTTTTAGTACAAAGCAGCGTCTTTAAAATAATACACACAATATTTAAATAAGTACAACCACCGTGATAAATATTAAATATTGTAGTGGTTAAAATGTAAGATGACACGCTTCTGCACAGGCCAGGTATCTATGTGTGTGATTGCATTAGCTGTTTTAGTGCTTCTCAGAATAAAAGGGTGTTTTCAGTCTTTTCAAAATTTGCCAGCTGTGCACAAGCGTGTCTGGGAAAACATGTAAAAACACTCAAGTGGTAATAAAAAGGTGCAAGTACAAAGGTTTGCATATTTAAAAAAAGAGCCGAGTCTGAGGCCTCAGGAGAAGAGCAGTTTCTGGAGCCCTGAGGATGTTATCAAAGCTAGAAGTTCAGAGTGGACAGCCACATCTACGCTGAAAATCACTTTCCTCTATTCCTCTAAGCTTTCAACAACTTACTCTGGTTTTTGTGCTACTACTACACCTGACATTCATTGCTCCTACAAATGTACTCTAAAACTCGAAAGAGACATTCAAAAACACATCTAAAGCTGCCACTTCTATCCATTCTAGCTCTGCACATCTCCTCAGGCCAAATGTAGAATGTGGAGAAGCTGGCAACCAGAGAAAGGCGAGCGCAGCTCCTCTGGCAGTACTGTGTAATGTACTATAGGTGTAGCGGACTGGAGAGAATTGTATGAGTGGTTGCGTGTGAGGGTGGGTGGGGTTTGCAACATCATGCATTGGCCAGTTCCTCAGCTTCATCTCTGTTTTCATTGATCTCAGCCAGCGTCCTGACGAAGCGGGTCCACTCATCCGCTTTGGGAACACAGATTTGCTCGCCAACATCATAGACCTGAACCTGTCCCTCTGAGTCCCCAGTGGCAATCTCCTTTCCAGTGTGAGACCATCTGACACGGTTCAGTGCCGGAGCCCCATCCACATACACACTAGCAGTTGGAACTTCGGTATCATTGTTGAGGTTCCACAAGTCCAGACGTCCAGCTAAGTCCACACAAGCAAACAGGGCAGGGTGTTTTGGAGACCACATCACATCGTAGACGTAGTCACAACTGTCCTCAAAAGAGTATAGTGGACGGGTACTCTTAGTGCTCCAGAGTTTGACGGTTCAGTCAAACGAGGACGAGATGAAGAGGTGAGAGAAATCAACAGGTCCTCCAGCACTGTGGCAGCTCAGTCCAGTAACCGGACCATGGTGGCCTTCAAACACTTCAGTGATGCCTGCCTTTCCACTCCATAAGTTAATGTGAGGGTTCCTGATGGTTAGGGACAAATGCAAATGCACTGCAGGGTGCTGTAAACGGCCCAAACCTCAGTCAGGAGAACAACTGAGAGAATCCATCCACAATACCAGGTTAGCCATTAATATACTGCTGCATGTAGTTACATTGTAAGGTTTTAAAAACTGAACTTTAAAATGAATAGTGGTAATAATAACCAAGAGAGACCGACAGTGATCACCGACTTTTTAGGGGCTTGTTGAGATTAAATAGAACAAGATACAAAGCATTAAAACATGTTAAAATAACAACAGCCTTATTAAACGCAGCTGCCAAATATTCTGAGGAGTACAACTCGGAATAGAAAGTAAAGACTTCTCTTTCAATCTCTATGAAATCTTTGCATTCAGTCCCATTTATCAGCAGGCTTGTAATTAAATTTCTCAGCTGTCTACATTTCTCCAGCTTACTAAAATACAATGAATTTTTTTCACCCGCCTCAATCCATTTAGCTCTTCATCTTATGAAAGCACCCTGGGCTTTCTCAAGGTAAAGATCATTTAATTTAGTCTGGTACTCCATCAATTTATTTTTCTGTTGGTTTTTTTTCCTGTTTTTTTGTTTGGTTTTTCTTTACTACAGCACTGAGTTATTTCTCGAAGTAAATTACTTTCATATTCTCATTTTTCCATATTCAGTTATTTGCAGAATTTTATAGTAAATTCTTTGATCTTGAATTGAACAAATTCCAATTTCTGTATAATACACACTATTGATTCCTTATTTTCAGTATCTCTGATTATATGTCTAATTTTATCACGATATTCATCCCTATTTAAAAGGCTGGCATTGAATTCCCAATATTAATATCCCCTGCTACTAAGTTTCTTCCTTGTTGGTTTTGGCTTTAGAGATTTTAGATTGTGAGGTACACCAAAAAATGGCATCGCTCACCAACCAATAATCAATTCCTGACCTGCTTTCTCCATTAGGTTTAAACCACGAATATTTCTTAAGTCCAGGATTCATACATCTCCAAATGTCTGTGAAATTATTATCACAAGCAAAGTTCTCAATAATGTTATTCTGCTGCCTCCTTCCTAAGCGAGGCGCCCATCTGTCCATCCATTCATCTGGTGTCACGTTCCCATCGCCTCCAACGACAATATAATCTGTGGGGTACATAACTTTAACTCTGAAATCACATTTGTTAAATTTTCCAATAGACTTTTATTTTGACCCTGATTATTTATGTCCATAAAGCCTTGTGACAATAAGGAATAAACCTTCGCATTTCAACACTACAGTTAACCAGTGGCCCTCTCTGTCAGCTTTGTAAGTTATAATTTACCCTGGGAATTTATTAAAACAAATCGCCACACCTCCAGATGGATTAGATCCATGGCTGAAAAGAATCTGGTCTCCCCACCGATTAGTCCAAAATGTAACATCAGCATCTACAGAGTGAGTGTCTTGTAGAAATAAAGAGTGACATTTTTGCCCCTTGCAAAATAAAAGAGTGCATTTTTTCTTAACAAGGTCCTTCAAACCCTGAATGTTTAATGAACTAAATATAATTTGTGAGTGAACCATAACAAGTAAAGAAAAAATGAAATGGAAAAAAATAAAGAGGTATGAGTTTAACCCATAACTCTTGTCACCCACTCAGTGACTAGTAACCTCTCATTTTCAGCTGAGCTCTGTTGTCCCATTAATAATAATCCACCGTATAACAGTCTGAGCCTTTCATTTAGCGTCGCCAATCCTCCGTCCTTCAATGTATCCACGAGGACCTCGGAAAAAGGTCAGTCTTGCTTGCTTGTTCAATTTGAGGCCACATCTGCTTCCTCTCTTCCAAATCCTCCCGCGGCAGTACCTCAGCAAAGTGAACAGACAGCCGAACCGACTCCTTCAGATCGTAGGTGTCTTTGGTCAGCTGCTCATATCTTCTCTCCAACTCTTTAACCTTCTGTCTACATTCTTTCACCTCCTCCAAGTTGAACTGAACAGCTTTCGATAGGATGGCTAGCCTTTTTAAAAAGTATAAAAAATATACAAACCAAAGATATAGTTGTAAAGAGCAGAAATATTCTAAAATTTGAAAAAACATACGAAGGCAAGAAGAATAATAAAGAGAAAGAATAAAGAGAAACAGGAAAGTGTGGATGCCTACAACATTCACTCAATAAACAAAATAACAGGGTTATGAATCATGCATCGTGTGGCAACAAAATAGAAAATGTAAATAATTGTCAGGTCTGTCATTAAACAATTTCAGTTATGAATCAGTTCATTCAACAGTTTTTGCATATTTGATTGGATATGTGAAAAATGCATGGATGGATGGTTTCCTGTTCAATCTATTGGAAGAAAATAATCAGATTTTTAAAAACTTATATGGTAAATACATTTGCAATAAAAAAATTTAAAAAGTGATGTGAATAAACTGTGAATACATTTTAATTTTCACATTTCTAACAAAAGCAGACGTTTGTATATTGCTTCAGCTGCATGTTATGTTCTGCACTTTTTCTGTTCACCTTTGCTCACTGATTAGCACTTGAGCAATTAAGTGGTAATGTGAAGAATAACAAAAACACTAATGCAGCATGATGTATACACAAAATCAACACTTGTTTTTCGTCTTTATTTTGCATCTTTTACACATGGTAGTGTCACTGATATCAAAACTCACACATAACCTGAATGAAATACAGAAAATTACAAACAGGTCATTTAAATGACAGTCGTTTGTGATTTTGAATGGAAGGAA